CAGATACTGGATGCACCACACACAGTTATGGAAAAATAGCAAAAATGTACATGCCACAGGAACAAGTAACTTACTAAATTATGATGTAACTCCCCACCAACAAAAGGAAAATAATTCACAGTAGATGTATAATGAAGGAATAAAGCTAAGAAAGCACAACCCGGCAAACCTGCCACCAAATTAAGTACTTTTTGAACACATGCTCACCTTCAAGATTCAGTTTACTTCATTCATTTATACTACCAAAGCATGATTATCTGACTGTGTCTTGCTTCCCCACTGGACTATGAGCACCTGAACAGCAGAGGTTGTTCTCATTTACATGTACACCACCAAGCCTACCAGCTGTACACAAAGGCTTTCTACAATAACCACTTTTCATTCAGTTCTAGTGAGAAAAATACCATCATCTTAGGTCCTTCAACTACAAAATCAACTAAACACTGCAAGCATTCAAGTACCAGCAGTACACAAGAGTTCACTCAATGAGCTTACAGTAGGGGTGAGAGGATGGACAATATAGACATGGACAAAAAACAAGGAAGAGTAACCAGTAAAGTATGCAGTGACAATAGCAACTCTCAGAAACCATGGTGATAAGAGAAACTGAGGTGTGTTTTTTTTTTTTTAAAGTTGCCTTCTTTCATTCTGTAACAGCGAAAGTGTAAAAGAGCCTACTGCATCCCACCTATATAACTCAAAAACACCTAACAGAGTAGGAAAAAAAATTTTTAAATCAAGGAATTTATCCTAACTTTTCTCACACTACCAATGTCAGAGTCTCATCCTAGTCCTTGTAGCACTGAAGTAAAACTAGTCTTAGAAGAAATCCTTCCAAATCCAAAAAGCAATGGTATTTTTCTTTATTCTGAAATCCTGATTATCTGTAAATCCTCTTTTGGGCCTTGACCTGTGCTAACTGGAATTAATTTTAATTTGCACAGTACAATCCCATAGTCAGCAGACAGGCAGTATCTGGGGCTAACTATTCAAAGTAGTTCAAATTAATAAGTACATTTTGTTTCCTCTAAAACTCAACTGGGCTGGAGGGGTGCTACTATAAGGAATCTACGAATCCAGACACCAAGCATTTATCTGTCATTTAAAGCATTACGACTATCATGTAGGAGCCTGAAAACTGAGAGACTAACAACAGTACTTCTACACTATAACTTAAGGGTAAAAAAATTTATCAACCAATTTTCTCATCTTTATCAGCATACACATTATTCATGACAAAGGTCACAGAAAATTTGTGAAATTTTCCTAGACTGAATAGCCTTAGGCCAGTTAACTACTTAACTTCTTTGAACCTGCTTCCTCAAATTTAAGGTTAAGAATTGAGATTAGATGCCCTCAGAGGAAAAGACTGACTTAATTAACTAAGATAATTACTTCCGTATTAACTTCAGCAAGGTTTTTGGTTCAATCCTAATTCATCCATAAATTGGAAAAAACATAGAATTTAAGTAATCACAATATATCCATACTCTGAGTTCAAGCTTTGCACTTAATGGAATATGGCACAAGGGACAGCGTGTGGCTTCTCTGCTATTGCTTAGATCACTGCCTCTAGAGGAAGCCAGCCACCACCATACTGTGAGGACACTCAAGCTACCCAATGGAGAACTGAAACCTGCTACCAACCAGTACTGACTTGCAAAGAGTGAGCCACCTTGGAAGCAAATAAGGAGCCCTAGTCAACATCTTGACTGCAACCTCAGGGAAGATACTAATCCAAAAGCCACCAAGCTCCACTACTCCCAGATTCCTGACCCACAGAAACTATGTGAGATAAACACCTTTATTGTTTTAAGCCACTATGTTTTGGGTTAGTTTATAACAGCAAAAGAACTAATGTAAGTGTTTTTCAGATTGTGGACCATGACCTGTTTATAGTTTATGAAATAAATTTAAGATAGTAAAACAACTTTTTAAAAAAATGAAATAGGCCAGGCACTGGTGGCCCACACCTGTAATCCTAGCTACTACTCAAAAGACAGAGATCTATCTCGGGGAAAAAAAAAAGAAAAGCCATCACAAAAAAGGGCTAGAGTGGCTCAAGGCCCTGAATTAGAACCCCAGTACCACCAAAAAAAGAAAAAAGAAAGAAAAGCATAGTACATCAGTCCAAATAACTATTTCCTGAAAATTTCATTTCAACATGTTTAGCAGGTAGCATTTAAAATGTGCTTAGACTCATGGTTGAAAAGCATATACCTACAGTTCTACACCAGGTTTAAAGCAAAAAGCTCCCTGCAGCATAAGAAATTCCTGTTATCTCAATAACAACCAAATATAAAACCACTTTCATAAATTTTGAGACTAAGCCAATGAAATGTACTCTCAAAATGTATCTTTTCTGACTTACATGTTGAGCTCATTATAAAAGAGGGAATGGTATCTGACCTAGACTTTAAAGTCTAGAAGCATGTCATTTTCCTAATTTAAGTACTCACTCAACAGGACATAAAACTTAGTAAAGCAGCTTTAGGTTCTAACCACACTTAACATTTCCTCCTACTATTACTTTTCTTTTCAATGTTAAAGGAAATTCCATCTTCAACCTGAGCACACACAACTCACAAATTTTCTTTCACTAAAACAAAGTGGGGGGGGAGGCTAACTACACAACTATTAAGTTGTTTTCTGTCCACCGTCCAAGTCACACTGGAGCTGTTCTCTTTGGAATACAAACAAACGTATTGTTTTTATGGCTGTCTTCTCAGGAAAACACAAATCAAAACTTTCAGCAACACAGACTTTGCAAAGTATCTACCCAGACTATATTGTGTTTTCTGTGAAGTAAAATATGCTAAACTATTTCTGAACTCCTAACATGCCAAACTTACTTTCAAAATACTAAAATAAATCAGTACATAAACTTAAAAAGCCACTTATTTTTCATATTAGGAGGATGTGTGGCTTTCTAAAGCCAGACTTAAGTGGCAGCCTCCCTTGGCCCTGTCCTGAGAACACTAGCCCTTCCTTCTCTGCAAGGGCTGCTGTTTTCTCCCTGGCCTTTGCAGATACATACATACATACATGTAAATACTTCCTACTTCAACCAGCTGGAAGAAAGCAGATGTGGTCTGTATAGCTCCTCTCTTGCTATTACCTAATGATGGTGACTAAAAACCAAAATAATCTGCATACTTGGCAAAAGTGCACCTGCCTATGCCTTGACAGTTAGCAGCAAAGCAGCCCAGTTCTAAATTTTAGAGCAGCAGCACTTAAAGAGAAGGGACTTTTTCTGTTTTGACTTTTTTGTGGTACTGGAGTTTGAACTCAGGGCTTTGCCCTTACCATGCAAGTGCTCTACAGTTTGAACCACACCTCCCACTGCAAAGAAGGGATGCTCTGGCCTGTACATCCTTTAGGAACGATACTCAGTTGGGGGCTCACACCTGGGTTTATTTCTAGAAACCAACAGAGTACCGGGAAACTATTCACATCTTAATAAGCAGTTACTCTGACTCAAGGCCAATTACTCTGGACATGTGGGCAAGTCTCTGTCCAACAACTTCAACCAGAAACTTCAATATTTAGTTCTGATCATTTTTCTTAGATTTCTTTAAATCAGTTCACTCCTCATGTAAGCACTCCATCAGCGTAACTTAAAAGTTTTCAGTCAAGGTCCAGAAGAATTAAGAACCTAAAGATCTCTAACTCTGATTCTCTACAGAACAATCAAAATCACTTTAGTTTCCTAGTGAGAGGAAACAGATTTCAACTTCTGAGCCACTCTAAGAATCTGGCTTGCCAGTGTGAAGGCCAACTTTGATGTTTTGGTGGTCATGCACTAGAACACTTAGATCATGGTCAGAAACTGGTTTTGGAGGCTGACATTTAAACCACTCAACAAGTCATTACCTAGATCAAAGAACAAGAAAGTTCAAGGCAGTTATATGCTGAATCTATTATTCGATTTGGGGCCACTAGAGATATAGCTGCTTACTTTGTCTTTAAAGAAGTCAGTCATGTAGATAAAACTGGACTGCTAAATCAAACTCAACATTTCTAGGAGGGATACTCTGTATATTCAATTGTCTTCAGACAGTAAATTTGCCTTAAGTGTTTTGTGAACTACGTGCCAGAATTGTACCAGGGTCTGGCTGTGTAAACCAAGGTTAGTCATCGAGACCCTGACAAATAGGATAGGCTAGTGTGCTTTAAAATCAAAGGGTAATCTGTAAATACTGCCTCCATTTCCTTAAGAATAAAACCTTATCCTAAGTCTTCGAAATCCTAGATATGCAACACAGTAAGTAATTAAACTCATGTCCTTAAAGGACTAAACCGTACAGAGGGAGAAATCCCAGCACAATGACACGATAAACTTTAAAATGTTAAGAGTGACCACCCAAGAACTGTAACCTAACAGAACAGCAACTCTGGAATCCACTCTACCAGCCCCTCAGAGATCACACTTGGCAGGAGGGTAAACTGTTCTTGTACAACACACACCCTACAGACTTTCATTTTTTTGGTACCAAAACTTTGCAAACTAAAATCCAACTGCTGAAATAACCAGCACATCCAAGCCTAAAGGAAGCACGGTCCACCACACTCGCCTAGCCTGAGAAGCCCCTCGAGAGACAGGACACTCAGGTATCTGCCTCAGTAGACTTTCAATCGCCACCGGTGACAAGTGATCTACCACAGCTCCCGGCTTCGACGGCCCGGACGAAAACTTAACTAAGCCGGGAAGGGACCAGGGAAGAGCCAAGAGATGCCAAGCATCTTCTGACAGCAGCCCCAGCAGTCCTCCCCCGGCAGGCACCGAGCTCTCGGGACCTGTGCTACCTAAACACTTCGTGTCCACACGGGGCTGTGACTCAAGGCCGCAGCCCCAAGAGGTGGAGAGAAGTTTCCTCGCCTCGGCCGCACATGGCTCGCAGAAGTTTGGCTGGAGCAGCGAGCCGAGCCTGGGTGGGAGCGGCAGCCTAGCGAGTGCTGCAGGCGGCGGCGGCGGCGGCGGCAGAGCAGCAGGAGGCGGAGGCGGGCGGGGGGAGGGGAGCGGCTGGGGGGCGGAGGGGCTCTTGCCGCCACTGCTCTCGCCGCCTCTCCCCCCCGGCGGGAGCCGCTCTCAGCCTCTTTGCACTAGTCGCTCCGCTCCCTCGGTCATGTGACCTTAACGTAACCGGACAGGAAAAGCCCCGCCGCCGCCGCCGCCGCCGCGCCGGAGACACCGACCGCGGCGGCAGCAGCAGCAGCAACCAGAGGCAGAGGCGGCGGCGGGGAGGACAGCACGGCCGAAGCCGCCCAGCGCTGCGTCCTCCACACCCCCCGCCGCAGCAGCACTGGCGACAGGTAAGCGCGCACCGCCTCCACCTCCCGGGGCCGGTGCCCACGTGCCGCCCCCGGCCCGGGCTCCGGGAAGGCGAGGGGGGGCGGGGGCCACCGGAGCTCGCAAACGGTTCCGGCAGCGGCAGTGGCAACAAAGAAGACGAATGACCCCCGTCCCGGGGCTTCGGGTGAAGGCAGGCGGAGGGCCCGGACCACTCGGGACCCGGTTCTGGGAAGCGAGGGCAGGGACGCCCCGCGGGGGCGGGGGCGGCTGCGCCTGGCGCCGGGACTCTGGCCGCCTGACAAAACCATCCCCCGGAGCCAGGCGGCGGCGAGTCGGCGGCGGCTCCATCCGGGGCTTTGCGGGAGGGGGAGGGGACGGAAGCCGAGAGGGCGGGCGGCGGATCGGAGGAGGGAGGGAGGAAGGGGAGGGGGGCGATTCGCGTTCCGTTCCCCGTCGCCGGTCCTTTCCTTGCCGCCGCCACCGCGAAGTGCGTCCGGAGCGGCGGTGGCCGGTGAGCGTCCCGCGCTGGAGCCCTCAGAGGCGGGCCCGTCAGGTGCGTAATCCTCTCGGCGCCCCGCCGCCGCCTCCTGCTGCTGCCGCCGCCGCTGCTTCTTCGGCGGCAAGGCCGCGAGCTGCGGAAGTGGGTTTGGGGGAGGGGAGCGAGGAGGGCGGGGGAGGGGAGGGATCCGGTCCGACCGGAGCAGGCCCGGCCTCTCTGGCGCTTCTCCCAGCTGCAGCGGCTCCTACAGCTGCTGCCGCTACTGCTGCGGCTCCGCCTCCCCGCTCGCGGGCGGGGGCGCGCACGCGCGCTTCCGGCCTCCTCGGGTCTCGCGCTGTCTGCGGCTCTCGCGCGCGCTCATCCCCTCTGCCTGGCAAGGCCATCTCCCCCGCCCCCAGCGCCGGGGCTGTTGCGCCGGCCGGGGCGTCGCGCACGGCGTAGGCGTCGGCATTCTATTAAACTCCGCGGGACTTGGGGCGGGCGCGGGCGCGCGCGCGCACGCGGGATGTGGGGAGCAGCGAGCGTGCGGCACGGCCAGACCGCGTCGCCCCTCCCCTTCCCTCAGCCCTGGGGTGGGGGCGGGGCCGGTGAGACCGGAGGGACCCGGGGACCCTGGCGCTGCACCCCGCCCCACCCCACCCCGGCCGGGCTCCTCCCCAGGGGGCGGGGTGGGCAGCCAGGCGGTTGGGCGGCTCTCTGCGGCTGCCTGGGCGCCGCCTGGGTCGCCCGCTGGGCCCCGGCGGGGGTTGGGCGCGCAGGGCCGGCGGTCTCGGGCTTCCGCCAGACAGGCGATCAGCGGGGCCCGGAGCGGCACCGCGGTTTCTGCCGCCTTGCCCGGGCGGGGGGCCCACGGCTGCACACCCCGCGGGCTCCGAGGAGGAGGGGAAGGGAGCGCGAGGCCGGCTCGGTGCAGCGAACCATTCATTTCAGGACAAGGCTGCATCGAGAAGCAAGGCTTTTGTCGCCTTTAGCTAGTCTTGAATCAGGCCATAATTAAGTAGAGGCAGCACAGCAGGCAGAGTGACTAGGAGAGTGAAAATACTGTTACTGCTACGCCATTTACTGCAAGAATTTCCACCCTAGTACTCCAGATCCTAATTATGCCTCAGGGTTGATAACCGAGCTCTTTGCCTACTTCCCCACCCGCCGCATTGTTCTTCTGCTCTTTCGCCGCACAATGGGTCCGGTTAGAGTGAGTCTGGGTTCATTTTCATAGGCTATTGTTTTACTAAGTAAGACGTGAAGGTCTGGACTGCGGACTCACCGGTGGTCCGCTGGCTGCCCTCTGCTTTCTAGTTGAAACCGTCTACGTAGCCCTGGAAGAAGGTGCATCTATCACTAGCATTTTAGGCTGAGAGGCCCGAAAATTATATTGTAAAATTAGAACTAGGCTGAAGGAGTGGCTCAAGTGATAGAGCGCCTGCCTAGCAAGTATGAAGCCCAAAGTTCAAATCCCAGGACTGCCAAAAAAGTCAGAACTGAGACGTTTTAATCTTCATTTCTGTGATTTATCATAAACCGAAAACAATAGGTAAGGTAGAAATATTTTTGGCATTCTCAAATGTTGTGAATCAGTGGTGGGTATCCAGAGTGTTTTGTGAGCTGTTAGTAAAAGGTAATTCTTAAGAAGAAAGTAACTTAGCACTAATGTTCTTTTGAGCTGGACATTTCTCATTTAATAAATTTCTGGTTTCATATGTTTATATTCTGACCAAAAAACTGATCTTTAATTGAAATCATCCTAGTATCTAAAAATGCAAGAAGGGGGGGGTACTAAGTGCTACCAAATTCAACAGTAGAGGAGTCCATTAAGGAGTGGCATATATAAATCACCCTTAAAACTTAGACCTAGTCAAGAGTGTAAAGATTGCTGCAAACTTGCACCAAGGTATTCCAGCAGCAGAGTCAACAACTAGCCATGTTTTAAGTCACAGAACAAAAGCTGCTGATGACAGCTTTTTTATCTTAAAGGTTACTATGAACTTTGCCCTAACTTCCAAAATTTATACTTTTATAAGATCATATAAAATAAAAATATTTACTCCAGCACCCCATTGGAAGATGCACCTGTAGCCCTGTGATTTCAGGTACCTGTTTGAGAATTACTGAACCAGAGGTAGGGAGTGAAAGAACCTGGCAAGGCTGATTATGTGCATTTGATTTCTTTTTCTTTTTTTTGCGGTGTTGGGGTTTGAACTCGGGCTCATGCTTGCCAGGCAGGTGCTCTACCATTTGAGCCTCTCTACCAGCCCTTGATTTGGATAATCTGCTTTTCACTTGAGGACTGTTCTGCCTTTTCTTACTCTCCCTTGGGGAGAGGTTTTTTTTTTTTTGTCTTTTCTTTTTTGGTGCTGGGATCGAACCCAGGGCCTCACGCATGCTAGGCAAGCGCTGTACCACCGAGCTACATCCCAGCCCTTTACTCTCCCTTGGTACTTCATCCCTAGACCTACTCCCCTTTCCCCGTAAAAACTTTGAAACTTGGCAAGTAGTATGGTGCCAGACTGGCACAGGAAAGGAAGACTGGAAGACCTGCTAATCTGCTGGAGAGTCTTACCATACATTTCAAAATGCAGCTGGCAAAAGGGCATTTATCACGTTTCTGTTTCCTTATGTCCCTTGGTCCTGAATGACCCTGAAAACCTAAAAGGGAGTTGAAAAAAATTTTTTTCTGAGGGGAAAAATAATTGTAAATATTCTAAGCAGTGAGATTGAGAAAAAACCTTTATTCTCAGGTTATAAATTTTATTAGCAAATTATAAGCTGCTAAATAATATTACTTTGATTTGGTAGTAAATAATATTCCACATTTTTATAATGCTAACCATTAAAATGTGGAATGGGGCAGTGGCTTATGCCTATACTCGTAGCTACTAAGGAGGCAGAAATCTGATTGGGAGGATTGAGGTTCAAGACAATCCTTGGCAAAACATCATCAAGACCCCCATCTCAACCAATAGTTGGGTGTGCTGGGACACACCTGTCATCCTAGATATAGGGATGCTTAAACAGGAGGGTGTCCGGCCAGGCAAAAATGCAAAGACCCTACTCCCAAAGATGATTGTGGCCCAGTGCCGGTAGCCACACCCTGGGGGGCTGAGATCAGGAAGATGGTGGCTCCAGGCTAGGTGGGGCAAGTAATTGATGAGACCCTCTATCTCCAAAATAACCAGAGCAAAATGAACTGGAGGTGTAGCTCAAGCGATAAGAGTACCTGCTTTACAAATGTGAAGCCCTGTGTTCAAACCTCAATCCTCCCACCAAAAAAAAAAAAAAAAAAAAAAAAAAATCCCCTCTCCAATAAAACATACAAATATATACACACACCAGGCTGAGCATGCATGTTGTAACCCCAAGACTGAGGCAGGCGGATCATTCTAAGACCTTGTCTCAAAAAAAAAAGAATTTCTTTTCCAACTACATATGTAGGTGAAACCGGATTTTCTTTAAGACTGAAACAAAACAAATACCACATCAGTACATTGGGAAACTCAGTGCACAATCCAGTTGTCTTGAGTTATGAAAATACAAAACGATGCCACTTCTTTGTTTTTGGAAAATTAAATTTTTCATAGAAACGTGTTCTTTGTTAATGTGTAATGGGTTGTTGGAATTGAGTTAGTATTGTTTCTGTTCCTAATAATGGTAAATATCAGTAATTACAATATGTATAAACAAAAGTTCTTTGAGCCTCCAATAATTTTAAAAAGCAACGTGGCCCTAGCACCAAAAGCTTTGGGAAACCCTGCCCTAAAATACTGAAATATGTCATTTAATTAAGGCTTGAACACTATTAGAACTCACCCAGAACTAGACCTGTAGGTGATGGTAATTTCTTCAAATTAATTTTTACAAACGATCATGTACTGTTATAAAAACGGAAGACAATCTCTACCTTGGTGGGTTAGTAGGAAAAGGTCAGATTTTTAAATTTTTTCTGGGTGCGATCATATGTAGATTTCCTTAAAGCTGATTGTAGTATAATGTCTTTAGAATCTCACTCTAATAGCAACTATCTTTATTAGCCATAAATTTCTGACCTGCTTCTACTTGATACCTCAGATGTCATTGTATCTGACCCCAACTTACATTTGGAAATTAAAAACCAATTTAAATGTTAACAGAGGCAAAACATAATTGAAAGGGCATCTCTTTTTACATATGCAGTGCTTTTCAATATGAAAATAAGTGCAATTAGGTTATGCCCCTCCTTCTTCTAGTTACTATGGAAGAGGGTTGAATAAAGAAATGTTAGGAAAAACTTACCTGGGAGGGTTGGAGAGAGGAGGGGAAGGGAATGTGATAGAGGGTTGAACTTGTTCAGGCTACAGAGTGCACATCTGTGGAATTATCACCTTGAAATCCTGTTATACTGTTATGTATGCTAATTTTAAAAAGTTACTGTACTATCAACTAAATAGGATTCATTTCCTACCTTTGAACTGCAATTTTAAAATATATTGAAATTCAAATGACCAGACTCATTGAGGTTTAGTTCATGGGCTCTACAACATTAATTTT